TTCCATATTACACATTTTAGCATAGCGCCATCTGCTGCTCTTTAAGGAACTACGTCGTGAAACTTCTGACTCTGATGTTGTAAAACAACTATAAACTTTTAAAATTTGTACTAGGTGGCGCTTTCACTTAATTACAACGCTTGTTGCTTTTACTAGAGGGCGTTGTTTCTTAAAACTTTAAATAACATTGCATATTTTGTTAATGATTGCATTGAAAATAGACAAGTTTTATTATGATTTTGTATAATATTATGTCATCTGTGCTATGGTTTCATTAAATTTTAACAGTAGATAATAATTTTTAATTGTTATATACTGACTGAGCTATTTATTCTAGTTCTTTTTATTCAACTTAAAATTATTAAGTTACATATAATAATAATAACATATAAAGACAAAGTATAACATAAAAAAGATATAGTGGTAATTAATGAAATCCATACTAATATTATAAATGTGAAAGTGTGTTTGTTTGTTTGTCCTTCTTTCACGTCAAAACGGAGTGACTGATTGGCGTGATTTTTGTGTGGAGATAGTTGGAGGGCTGGAGAGTGATATAGGCTACTTACTTTTTACAGCGGGAAATGGGATAATACGTTATAATACAATCCAAAAAAAATATTTATGATCCGAATTGCTCTTCAATAAAATTAAATAAATACGTGTCTTAGTATTTTTCGTAATTCATCCTATAAGGGGGTAAAACAGGCAATGAAAGTTTGTTTGAAACTACCCTTTTAAAGATTTTTTGTAGTTTTAGCACGAGCGAAGCCGCGGGTTCTGCTAGTGAATGAATAAGTACTTTAAGTCATCATTTACATTTTTTGTTTGATTATTTTAGGAAGATAGAAAAATCAACATACCTACATATTTTTAATTATTCTTAATGGTTTTGTTTCCAAAATTCCAATTTTATAATATACGTAGTATTACATAATATTTACTTTTTTTTATGAGGGAACATAACATTTACTTATTAGCGACTTACCCTCGATTCACTTCGGATTCGTCCCTAGACAAAAAGAAATCTATCCCACGGAAACCGTACGTTTTGCCGGAATAAAAAATAGCCTATGTGCTATTACAGACTATACTCTATCTCTGTGCCAATTTTTATCCAGATCCATTCAGCCGATCTGGCGTGAAAGAGTAACAAACATCCATCCATCCATCCAACCTCACAATTTTTCACATTTATAATATTAAGTATACATAAATAGCAATTTGCTATATGATTTAAGAAAACAACTTATTAAATAACGGAAGGTTTTATAATTTCTGTCCGCGAATGAGTATTGTTCACTGAAATCCAAGGCCATTCACCTTAATACGACTGACTGAAGTAATATATTTTTTGACTTAACAATTTAAAGCTGTTTGAATAAATTGGTTCTTAATTTATAATATATAAGTACATAAAATGTAAACATACGACTCATTTTTTAGAAAATATATATTGTTATACGAGAAATATTTCTTACTGCTGAACTGAACAAAGCAGAGTAGGAGACAATACTTATATCTTGTGTCTTTAGGCTTTTCTTAAATAGTACTATTATTGATTGGAATTTACCCTTAAAAACGAAAAACTAATATTTAAGTTTAATCCCTCTATAGATGCAACTAAAAGAATGCGGAGTGACCTCAGACTGACATTATTTTATGAGGCAGTGACTCACTCTACAACTTTGTTTTGCACTATTTAATTAACTATACCTATGTATAACATGTTATTAAGTAGTTAGGTACCTACTATTTCTAATGTTATTTCATGTTACATTATGTATATAGACTATTAATAATTTAGACATATTTCTTATAAGTTATTATAAATATAATAAAACTTATTAAAAAATAAAATATTTCAGTATATATTGTAATATTTATATAGATATAACTGTTGACGTAGGTATATAATAAGTAATAATACTAGTTCATGGTTAAAAATGCACCTAAGTCAAATATATGTCTACGATTAACAAATAATTAAATATAACCTCCATCAGGAGGTCTGCCTTGTTTTTGTCCAAAGAATCGGCATTGCGATTCAGCGAGAAAATGCAGCTAGCTTTTTTGCATCTACTACCCGGACATGACTTGCTCAGCAATTGTTTAGTGTTTTTATATACCTAATATTTAATTTGTAATTTTTAATAATTTGTACTACATATACAAGAAACGTAATGTGTCTGGTTAATTAGCAAGTAATTAAAGTAGAGCAAAAAGGAAAATATAATTAAAGTATACTTATAAAACTTGCCATTTAATTAACTTTTACGAGCTTTTTATGTTTTTATGACATCGCTGTATGTATAGTTCATATTAACATTAACATTTAAAATAATTATAATCTATATATTATGTTCTATTAAAACAAAGGATTTTGTATCTAGTTGAATATTATGATCATAGGCGATAAAAAAAAACCTAGTGGCAGTTGTCGGTAACTAACCTCAGTTGGGTATTTATATATAATTATACTGACCTACGACAGCCAACACACTTTCGTAAGCATTATAATAATTTTATTAACATTATACAGTGTAGCCATAACAAAGGACTAAAACTATCATCACTAACCACAGACTAAATATTAAATAGTGACTATACCTAACAAAACTAAGTTATACCATAAGCCTGCTAAAAAAAAGTAATGTTTTTAGGTAGGTACTTTAGTGTTCTACAGGTCCTTTTATATTCCCCCTACATAAGATGCCATGCATATCATTGTGAAGTCAAGTATTTAATTGGTCCTTCGTGCTATAAAATATATCTACGAATATATGCGTCAATTATTTCAACCAAAATGTGTTTTTAATTTTTTTGTGCTTAACAGATCCTAAAAATATCTTGTATATAAATATTCGTTCGTCTCTAGTGTAAATTTAGGTTTTATATATATTTTGTAATGTTAAATCATAAAAAAATTAGAATATTTTTTTTGTCCAAGAAATAAAAAATAAAATTTTGGGGTGGACAACCGTTATTACTTAGGGGTATCCAAAATAGTTTACGTCCTATTCTCAGACCTATTGAATATACACACAAAATTTCATAAGAATTGGTTAAGCCGTTTTGGAGGAGTTTTGTTACAAACACTGTGACACGAGAATTTTATACATATATTAGAGATATAATATGTCTAGTTTGTCTACTCTACTCTTGTACTGTATTTATTGTAACTTATAACTCTTTACATTTTTATAAGATAAACTTAGAACAATTTATTACTTGAAAGGCATTTAAATTAGTTGCATAACTTTGTAGCCTATCTTTTACATATGTGTTTGATTCATTATACTCAGTCCAACAATAGAGCGAAGGGCTCACGTGACAAGCATCGCGTCAACCTTTAAGAGTAGTTTTATTTTATCTCTTAAAAACTCCAATATATATCGGCTGTCACACGCCTATGTTACTTAAAATATTTTAATTTTCTATTAGTCTTGAATGTTTGGTCAGAAAGCTTATGAAATATGTAAAAGTTTTGAGAACGACTTTGTTTTCTCTTGATTTTTTTTACATTAAATAAAATTGTCTGTTTAACCTTCAGAACAATTTTAAATTTTGCCAGATGAACTTAAAACATCAATCGTTTAACCTATTGTTACCTCATTCATTACTTTTATATGTGCGTAGGTAGAACTTTATTTATACCTACATACTTTTAACAACAGGCCACATATTTTCATAGTGCAAAATTATTGTAAAACCTTTACACATTTTATTATCTTTTTAATTATAACCACGTGTTTATTAACTGGAAAAGCTGTAGGAGGATAAAATTTGGCGTTGGCTTAGCGAGTAAAATAAAATAACATGACCATCTTTTCTTGCGTCTCTTAATATCAAAACGCGTTGGCTGTGTAAAACTTACTGCTTCTTGTTGGACGGAGCTCGTTTCAGTTTTTTTGTACTTTTAAGATATATCAACGCATTATCCTGTAGGTTCATTTTGGGCGAGGCGGCAGATACGCGCGGGGAGGAGCGCGTGCGCATAACTCGAGTGTGACGTCATGAGGGACGGTAAAAACTCCATGAACCCGGGTAGTCAAGGTCTTCAAGACTTACATTTACATGTTTGTTGTATACACTTTGTATAAGTCTCTCGTATTTATTAGCTGTATCGAGAAATAAAATTGCATGTTATGAAATTTATCTGTTGTCAATTTTTATTGTATACAGAAGATTAATGTTAAATTTATTAGATACATTATATTTTAGATTGCTATAAAATAAATAATGTAATAGTCTTTTACACTGCATTGTTATAAATTACACTAACGTATTATAAAGCTAAAGACTGATTTATTTTATTTGATTGTACGCGATTACCCCTAGAGTCGAGAACCACCAGTTCGGTTTAAAAAAATCCTCTTGTATTTAATTTTATATAACTAAACTTTGTGGATGGAATCGCAGGCAATTGCTAGTAAATAAATATAAGCATTGGAAATGTTTTCGAATCGCAATAATCGTTATTGGTATAGAAAAAGTTTCTGATAATATTAATTTAAGTACTTGATATTTTTAAGATAAGAATTCAGTTAAATAATTTAACAGTTACTACTTCGGAGAAAAACTACATATATCTCTAGTGGCCACACTTTTGTTTTTGTGTCGACTGCCGATGCCCAGAACAGATTAGTTTCGAGAAATCTTAAAGAGAACATGACACGTCACTACACCGGAGATAAATTTTGTCTAGTGGCATTATAAAGCATATTATATAAACCTAATAAAACAAATTAACTGTTAGTAACATTTATATATGGTTACGAAAGTGACGTTATGCATCTTTAGAGAAATAAAGCTCTACTTAAGATGTTATCAAATCAGACGAAGCGTAATAATTCAAAAAAACTTAATGCAAATCATCTTAATTGTGGACTTTCGGAAACTTTCTGTAATGAACATTTGAAATGAGACATTTAATGATGATTCTAACCTTAATTTCATAGATAATAAAAATTCTAAATATCCATATTTCATTGTTGCAGGTGACAGTATGGGGCAACAATACTGTTGCAGAGGTCGTATGTGAGACTCTACATGAAGTGGGCGTAGTCCTTGCTGGGTTACCAACTGGACCTCTCTCGGCTCCCTTAACTCTACCTTTGTCAGAGCCTCTACCACCTCCAGAGATGACGACTGCACCACCTACTGCTTTACTTTTTCTCGGAGGATCGAAAGCACCAGTTGAGCCGCGAGCGTCTGCAATGTCTTTAGAAGGAGAAGTGTTGGTAGTGGAACATGAACCACCACAATGGGATGGCAAGGATCTTGAAGTTTTTCTTAAATGGGAAAGGATTTATGGTAAGAACAAGTTATTCGTAATTATTTTATTAATCTATAGTATGTTGTAAATGTATATACAAGTAATAGTGTTTTAATAATTATTTTATGGAAACTGAATGAAAAAATGTCTGAAAAGCTACACGAGTGAAGTTAACATTAAGTAAGATGATCTATTAATGAACGATTACAAGTAACGGCTTAAGCGTAGCATTTTAATTTTTAAAATCACCGTGTAAATGTTAGCCACTTAGCATGCAAATTTGTCATTATATACTTTAATTGGTCTGTTAAACATCAATTACGTAAACATCGCAGTTATACAAGGCTTTATCTAGGTAGAACTGTTATTTGTTTTACTTTCTTATCGGAGATTATCTTAGCGTTCACTGTACCTACTCGTACATCGTATTGAGTATTCAAGCGGCAACCAAGCGATGTTTGTAGAAAGCTGTTTGGCAATAATGAAACGCGCGCCATTGTCCGGTAATCTTTCGCAGAAACGACTTGTATGCAAACCTAATGCAGCTACCGTGACACTCATATTGATTAGTGTTGGCTGTTTAGCTATGTTGTTTCTACAGTGAGTACTGGACGTGTTTAGGGGTTATGCTATGTTACGACAATTATTCCATTTGCATATGACCTATTTTTCAAACACTATATTAGTTAGGGTTAGGTATATAATTAGTATTAACTTGAAATGTGTATTTATATAGGTAAAATTATTTAATATATGTATACTTTTGACGACACGTTTGGCTCAGTTTGCAGTGACTCTACTTGCTGTGCCAGCGGTCGCGGGTTCGAATTCCGCTGGGGGCATTCATTTGTGTGATGAGCACGAATGTTTGTACTCCAGTCATGGGTGTTTATATTTATAATATGTATGTATTTAAAATTTATATATGTGTAATGTATCAACTATCTGGTATCCATAACACTAGCCTCGAAGCTCACCATGGAACCAGATGGTACTGTGTGTTAATGTCCCAACAAAAAAATATTTAAAAATATTTTCTGTCATTACAACACGCTTATACAAATTATAAAAAAACAAGAAATATATTTAAGCATTGATAATATTTTACAGATCCAAGAAATATCGAAATTTTATTACAGAATATAAAATAAACATACATAGGGAGTGGCATGAGTACATATAGTACTTACATGGCTAGGACTAGGATTTATTATGAAACAATTCCACTAAAGCTGTCAACAAGCACGTTACCTGCATAAAATTAGTAAAGCTTTCTACAAAGATCATTAACACAGAATTTAGATCCTGTGTTAATTAAATTATGTTCGTGCTATATAGAAGTACTGGTTAAGGCATATTAAATTTCTCAACTTGATGAATAAATAAAATGTTTATGCATAGTACATATTATATGTATATTTGTATAAGTTTTAATTGACAGATAAAAAATACATATACAAATTATACTTAAAAATATATTTATTATTTTTTCTTTACAGCATCAACCTTGTTTTCTGCCCTTGAACTCTACGGAAAACCACTTCTACGAGCATCAGTAATCAATAAAGAAGAATATCATCTACTCTTCTATTATTTAGAATCTGTTTCTGAAGCAAGTGACGCTTTAACGCAAAGAATGAGAAAATATATAGATTCAGGATTAATCAAAAGTAAGATGGATGATGAAAACTGTGAAAATGCGCTTGAAAATAAAAATGTTGATATTGAAGATCGTTCTAAAAGTTTACTTACGGAACTTATTCAAGAAGGAATAATTTCGCAGCATGACATTGATTTATCTTCTGTGATAACGAGTTCCGAATGTAACGAAGAAATTATTATTAATAACAAATTGGATGACGATAATCGTTCTAGTTCTTCGTCCGTATGTTCAGCATTGCGCAAAATTATAGTTGACATTCCAGTTGACAACTGCGAGTCAATTGCAGACGACTCTATCATAGAGAGTAGTGACAATATAACGACTGTCACAATAAGAAGTGGAGGACAATGTTGTGCTGATCATAGGATATCTGCAGACATTACAGATAATGTATGGTCTAACGTTAGGTGGGATTTTCTAAACCCCGCTGATTTTGGATATGACCAGGTTCCAAGTGTTAAACGAAGTCGATCCGATTCCGCAATAACTCCCATAGCTAGACGACGTAACGAAGAGATATATGAAACGCTACGTGATGGTGACGATGAATCCTGTGGAAGTATGACTCCGTATGAATCAATTGAAGACCTTTATGATTGCATAAAGAATACAGTTTATAATAATATTGCTGCTGAGGAATCTTCGCCCTCAACAGAATATCAATCTGAACCGCAATATCAGGACTACTACGAAAAGTCGAGTACCACTCGACAAAGTTCAGCGAGTAGCGATAAAAGCACTTCATCTGTATTCCCATTTTCAAAGTGTGGTTCAAGTGATTCGACAGGAGCCTACACGTCTTGCGAGTCAACGAGTGGGGTCAGTTCATTTATCCCGAAGAATATTCCTGAAACTTTGAAGTGTCGTGAATTACCTCCTCCACCGGTCGATGGTGATTTAAATGAAAGTAGTATATTACTAAGGCAGCTTTTTATGGGTGAATTGTTAGATGCGTATGGAGAATATCTGTCGGCGTATCCTTATGCCAGAGCATTGTTACGGCGCAAAATTCGTCGCGATGAACACTTTGCTGCTTTGGCTGACATAAGACGTGGTGCTGCCAAGTATACAATCAGCGACTACCTCGAGTTGCCGGTAAGTAATTATGACATATTTTATATCATTTCAGGTGTGTGTATATTACTTACGAAAGCAAATATGATAATTTAATATAACTAGTACCGTGTTACAAGAGCATGTTTTTTTATAAAATAAACTTTTCACAATTCAAGTTCATATAAATTACAAATGACTGTCTGATAAGTTTCTTAGATCCAATATTATTCATTGTACATACATGAAAATTAAGCTTTAAGTCATGAGAAGAAATTTATCTGCAATTGCATGCGTATCCGATAAAATTTCGTCACAGGAAAAGTAGAGGTATTTGAAGCGTATAATGACATGTAATCTTTTATTTCACGCCTTTGACCTTAACTCGAGTGGAATGAAAAGTTTGTATTAAATGTGGTCATTACGTTTAATCGAGAACAATACGTTATACGGAGAGGAATGGGATTGATTCAGTGTGGGTTTGATGGCGGCTCGCGACAATGATACACGCGCCATGCGCACGCGTCGCCATTCAATGCTAATGGGCCGGAAGAGTGCCCGTGTAGAGTAACTCTCTCTCGACGATTACAGGCATTGTTTTTCTACTGCTTTGCAGCCGTTTCAGGTTTTAATTTTTTAAAGCTTACCAATTTTGTAGAATGTTACAAATATCTTCCAGCGTCTCTATACACTGGTGCATAAGACGCCATACGACATTATGCAGTAGTTCATACAAATTTGTATTGTATTTCAATATATGCTTATATAATGTACATGATTTTACTTATTATAGAAAATGAATAGAATTAGGTTTTTGTTCGTAACAGCATATAATATTGCCTGGACTACCTATGTTATAAACCTCAATGGTTGTAATACAACACGTGTGGTTTTAGTCTATATGTAGAGAGTACTTATAAAGCTTTTGTCGCTCTGACTATGTGCTTATGGACTCGTGATTCAGATTGTATCGACGACATTCACGTACTCAATGATACGAGGTTGAGGTTGATGACACTTTAAAAAATATGTTACATCATTTTTTTAAATATATTTTCTTAAAATTATGTAAGATCTGTTATTAATTATATTATATCTCTTAAATTAATGAGCGTTTCGCGGTCAAATATTAAAATAAATATTTTTTATTCAGTATAGAAAACCCTCTACCTATTTTGATAGTTAACTGAATTTCATGATCATCCGTAAATTTAACTGATCATGAGTAAGAGTGGCTCACTATATTTTTGTTCTTTTACTCAAAAATTGTATTATGTGTGTGTATGTTTCTTAGTCGTCTTTCATGCTCGAATAAATAGCTGGATCCATTTGGATATATTTAGTTAGTTCATAGATCGACAGTCTATTATAGCCTACGACCTGGATTAATTTACAGGGAAATGTTAGGCACTCAGGAACGCACCAGTTGCTTGTTAATAGGTAATTTTGTATGTATTTCGTTCTTTTTTAAGGTCCCATTGCTGGGAACAATGGGCCTTCCCTTAATATGAGGCTATAGCCCACCACGCTGGCCAAGTGCGGGTTGGCGGACTTCACATTTCTTTTGAAAATTTACTAAAATATACGTAGGAGATATATAATCATATATTATATATGTAATAAATAATATTGTAATATAATGATTTTAGGTTGAATAATGAATTACACTTTGTAATTTATGCTAACTGCTCTGCAGTTTAATTGAGCATGATGGTTCGAGTTTTAAGTGACCTTTATCAGTAAGGTTTTTGTAATAATCAATTAGTTTTGACCAAATTAATAAATGCTCAGTTAGAATTTAATGATTTAAATTATAATTTATGACAACCTTAACATAAATTATTTTGGAGACAGGTTCTACTATGGTAATATTTGTCATAATGTTGATGTAATTTTTTCATTTACTAGAGCTCTTGATAAGAAAAACTTTAAAGTTTAAATCTTGATCATCTAATATCTATACATATGTATAATAAAATTGTAATCAAGCCCAATCTGTACATTAAATATTTTTTGGAAAATCTTATTGAAACAAACATTATTATCGATACAGAGGCCGAATCTATAGTTTTTTAAAATTTTGTCTGTCTGTCTGTTACCGCATCACAGAAAAACCACCGGAGGGATTTTGATGAAATTTGATATGGTGATAGCTGGCTATCCAGGTCAACATAAATAGGATACTTTTTACCGCGGGAAAATATCTCATTTCTGAGAAAAAAAATCAAAAACTGCAATGTAAGAGTATTATGTAAAACCTTAGAATTTAGTTTTTGGTTATCTGAACGCGGGCGGGGCCGCGGGCAATGCCAGTTAACTTTATAAAAATTCTAATGAGTGCTGTCTCATGTATGACGTAATAGCGAAACAAGTGCCCTGGATGACTGGCCCGGCCCGCCCACTTTATTTTATCGCTCGCCTACACATTTATTGTCATCAGATTAAAGGTAATTACTTAAAATGCCAAATCACTAAATTTGATTGTGAAGGTCACTCCAAGCTCAATATTGCCAAACTACTATTGTTATACAGACGCAAGTATCAATTATTTTTTTGTACTGTATTATTCGTTATTATCGTACGATTAAATATGTATACCTAAATGTTCTGACGTTAATCTATTCATATACTAAAATTGTAACTGATCGCTGTCTGTACATGGAAGATATTCGAGAAAAACTATTATTGGGGGTCTTTATTACCGGAAAAAAACACAAAACAATGGTTTTTAGAAATTTTGTCTGTTTGTCTGTTTTGTCTGTGCGTTTGTGCGCGCTAATATTGTCTCGTTGACCACACGTTTGGCTCAGTTTGCAGTGACCCTACTTGCTGTGCCTTCGGGGGCGGGTTAGAGTCCCGCTGGGGGCATTCATTTGTGTGATGAACACGAATGTTTGTCCTCCAGTCATGGGTGTTTATATTTATATTATGTATGTTTTTAAAGTTATATATGTGTAATGTATCAACTATCTGGCATCCATAACACAAGCTTCGATACCATGGAACTACATAGATGGTACTGTATGTTAATGTCCCAACATATTTATAATTACTAGAGACGGCCGCCCGCCCGTCCGCAAATCTCAGAAACGGCTTAATCGATCACTAATGTATTGTGGTAAGCTTCACTTAACATTTAGTATTTGTTTTATTTTAATCTGTTCATAAATAAAAAAAGTTATGTCAAATTAAAGGATCACCTAGGGACGAATCCGAGTATGGAATATGTATAATCGATCGATCATTCAGAATTGAATTTTAAATTATTAAAATAATAAAATATAAATAGAAAATAAAAAATATAAAAATAAATACTGGATGAAGAACGTCACATAAGATATCATATTGAGAAAATTTTATACCTATATATTTAAAGAAAGTACTAAAATACTAATACGAATAATACTATGAACGAAAATCAAATTCCCTATTATCGACATAGAGGTAAGTACTTGCCTCTATGTCCTATGCCTATGATGTTAACTCAGAACCTAAGCATGTGTTTACTGTTCACACACTTGCATACAAATTGATACATTATATACGGAAAGTGAACAAAGTCGTATTGAATAAGGTCTTTGATATATCAAAGGACTCAATAGAATCCCAATAAACATTCAATTGAATGTAGACCATAAAGATCTCGAAAAGATTACCTGGATTTTGACACTAAATTATGTTTCTTTACTTTGAGTGTAGTACTTTTTACTCATAAAGTTTATTTTAATCTCTTACTGGAGCCTATTAAATAAATACATAATATGGAAATTACTTGTGAAGGCGAGCTTTTGTTCATGTTTTATAGATGTGTACCTAATATGTATAGGTACCTAATATAAATCGATTTTGTGTGAAAATTTTTATACTATATTTTCTATTTTTCTTTTGAGATAAAAAAATATTTGAAGGAATTTAATTTGTAAAAAGTTATTTGTCAAATAAAAATATTGTGCCAACTTAAGCCACTGCCTTACATAGCCTGATGGATATATCAGTGAGCCAATCAGTCAGTTATGGTACAGTTTTTAGATATAGTTTCCAGCTAAACGGTACAAAATTGTCATATTGATTTCTGGAAGGTCCTTTAAATAAAATTGGAATAAGAAGAAATATGATTCGTTTAGATTTGGCAAGTTAACAAACTAAGTGAGAATACATGGTACGTGCACGTGCTTGGAATATCAAAGTAAATCAGGTACAAAATTCTTTCTCGTCTAGACTTATCTATTTGCCATAAAAGCCTTTTGATCGTCAAGATTGCTGCAAAACTTGCAAATTAGGTTTGATTGAGGACGTCAGGATTTGGACGTGACTTCCATTATAGTTTAAAATAGTTCTTTAGAACAGATGCTAAAGTTGATTGGATGTCATTATTCTACACCTGCATCATTAACTTAAAAAAAGATACAGAAGTCAGCAAATTATTATTTAGTCATTTTCAGAAATAAAAAACATTTTTGCTTTTTTTAATGAAAATTTGCATAATGCCTTCATTAAATTTCATTAATATCTATCAACAAGTCAGCAGTAATAAACAGGTATAATTTCCTATTTACATTATTGTTATCTTTATGAAGTTGTATAATAATAAAAAAAACATAACATATGTATGTAAAAGTAACAATCACTAAATACTTCGCTGCAATCCTCTCACATCCGGAACGGAAATTCTTTACATATCGAAATCGTCTATTTTACTATTTCTTATATAATTTTTGCAGTATCACCAAACATAAAAAAAAACATAACAAGATTTTATAATCAATAGATGTTTTATTAATTAATATTATGAAATATAAAACAAATATTTTTTTATACCAAAAGAGTAAACCTACGTGCATAGTACATATATATATGTATATATATCTAAACTCTAAAGAGGTATGAAGTTCGTAAGGAACACGTGATTTAATATTTCATTGAAATTATATCTTAATACTGTTCTTCAAGAATTGCTTACATAAGTAGTCGACACTATGATATTGTTTGCGAGTGCACGTCAAGCTTGTTTTGCAACTTGCCAATGCACAGTAATATAAACTAGCGTATCACATTACTTTTTCGTCAAAATCACTTAGCTAGCAAAGACAATCTAATTGCGGCATGCGTCCATTTTATATCTACACTCTGCTACATAGTTTTTAAACCTACTAATATTTAAGTGTGCAATCTTTGTTATAACGAATTGATTTCCTTAACCAATTTTGTTTTCTTAAACTTGTAGTAGGTAGTAGTTATCTATTCACTTTTTTAAATTTGGTCGTCGGTAATGCAAAAAAGAAATTCTCATTAGTAACAATATGAAGTGTAAATCTCACGCGGGTGAAACCGCAGGACTTAAAAAAATTCAAAAACTACTAAGAATTATAATGATTGTTTTCATTATACTAGTTAAGGTAATACGAATATCATTTTTGAAAAGAACACTTTCATTTTATGACGGCGTATTCTATTATATTATTTATAAATCCTACCTTTAAACATAAAAAACGGCCAATGGATAATAATCTCTATACATATATAATAAAAGTTTCTTGTCCTATCTGAATATTATTATTGACTGGGCAATACCTTTAAATCTAAAGGCTGAAGTTTTGACAACTTATGCTTATACTAGAAGATAGGAAACAAACATAAGAGGACTTTTATAATCTAAGTCCTTAAGGTGTGAAAAGGGGTGACAAAGTTAAATGGGAAAAATATTCTTCAAGTGTGGAATTAAAAAAAGGCTGAGACGAAGCTGGAATAGGACGCTAGTTTATTAAAATCGGATTAGACGCTGATCGCTAGAGATCGTTTTAAAACATGAGTAACATTTCGTTATGTAAAAGCTATCATAATTCTTATCTACGTAATACATCATATCTTAAACTGACAGTAAATATGCAATTTAAAATAAAACAATTAACAAATATAACGTGAAAAGAAATTCTTGTGAAAATATTTGTAGTTTTGTGGACTTTTTAGGAAATATATCGCAGCTCTCTTAATTGAATGAAAATAGTCGGGTTTCGGACACATTCTTGTGTATTTCACCAATAAAGTTTCCAATATATGTCTCTGCTGAGTTTTTATTGGGATTTTTCTGCACCCGAGAGTCTTGTCTTGACTAACACGGCACATTTCCTTTTACAGATATGTAAAGCTAGATGTGACTTGCCTAAATATATTATGTTAATATCTAAATTGAATAGTGTAACCTGTTTCTACTCTTGTTTTCTGCAGTTAGTATGAAAGTTTTTAGTACGAAAAATTCATTCTTGCTTTAGGTAACTGCGTCACGTTTTTTCGTAACCCCTAAAAGTAATGTATGGATAGTCGCCTGTCATGTGGAACGGTGACCGTATGTTTACGCAAATTTGTATGTTATGAAAAGTGTACAGCGCTCGATAGAACATGATTACAAATAATATTGTGATATTTTATTAGCGAATGTAATCCATTTTTTAAAACATTTAACACTTTTACTATGATAACTATCATAATAAATGTTATATATAGTAAATAAAATAAGTTTTCCTAATTATGGTGCCTAAATATAGTACAAATATTTTGTTTATAATAAACTAGCGACTCACCCTCGCTTCGCTCGGGTTCGTCCCTAGCTTGATTCCCCATGCAAATTTTCAACTCCATTTTCACCCTCTTAAATGAT